AAGGCGCGAAGTCATCGTCGTGTTGGGCCAATCGCTGCGCTCCCTCAACTTCGGCCCCAACTTTGTGTTCGACGAGTTTAGAGACCCAGGACGCCGTGGGCGTATACGGTGCCAGCACGGCGGAAACTACGGCCCCTGCGGGCCAATGGGAACAACGGAGTGAGGCACGTGACTACGTATCGCCGGAGCGCGCTTTGACTGCGGAAAAGGCTTCTGGCTGCGTCATGTTCCAATGTGTGTGCGTATACATAGCGCATATCGAAGTCCTCGGAAGGCGATGCAGGGCGTAGCATTCACCCCTCTGCCAAGTTACAACGAGACAGGGCAGAATCATGGGCTCCCACCCTGCTGGCGCCGCCTGGCCTTTGCCGGCAGGCTATTCGCAACTTTCACGGCCTACAGGGGGCGCGCTAGTTCCTATCAAAATGGCCGTGAAGTGGATGTTCGTCGTCGAATAGCAGTAGGACGTTGGGTCCGTGATGCGTAAGTAATTCTAATTTTGTGAAATACGATCGACATAAGAGCCGTACCTCACACTTCCACCTTGGGAAGGTGTAAGCAAGCACGTTCTTTCGGAAACCGAGGCCGGATTCTCAAAGCGAACTTACGACGAAAAAAATGCGTACGACAAATTTGAGAGAAAATCCGTATTCTCGAAACGAAATTGTCGTAACTTTTGCGCAGGTTACGACAAAATCCTACGACAGGTCCGAAGCTGTCTTACGCACTTTCTACGATCAAATTAACATGGCCGACAACGTCGCTCAGTTGCTCGGTCGCGACGACCCAACGGACATTTATTTTTCTACCTGCTCTTCTTGCGCGTCCCGACTTCAAGCAGCAAGAAAAAAATGAAGAAGTACTTGAAACCGACCACGACGAACATGAACGCTGGATCCACAGACCCCCGGAAAAGGCAACAAAGGCGACGATCCCACCGACCAAGCGAGCTCGGCAGAATATATAGGCCTAGCAGGCACTCCGACCCGTTCCGGCGCAGCATTTCTCAGACAGTCTTTGGCCAAGACCGTCTGCCCACGACCGGCTGGCTTGCTGAATGGAATATGCCCGCGCGACCCTTGTGGACCCTCCCCGTATTAATAGTTTGATAGCTGAACTAAATTTCAGAGGTCAACCGATTCCCCTTATCATCTCGATCACCTTGTTTTCCGAGGCAGCGGTGACGAACGCTGTCGTCGAAAAGGGACTACTCGATTCTATCTCCTTGTTTTGTGTGATATAGAGCTCAAATAAACGCCGTATGGATTACCTTCGCAACACGGTATGTACACTTTGTTATTAGTATGCCATTTTTAACTGTCGAGCTGTATCAGTTTGTGGGAGCTACGTGATGCCGGTCCAACCTTTCTTTGCCGAGTGTCACGTCAGTATCGAGTTGCAATCGTAGGAGATCGGTCCCGAAGCGCTTACCGAAACGCAGTCTGAATCCAGCACTTCGATCAAACGCACGCGTCCGCTCCGAGTGTGAACAGGTATTTGCGTGACTCTTGCTGACACTCTCGTAGTTCGAAGTATTTTTTTTTTAACGTCGGCTCACTCCTGCATTTCCGAGGCCGCGAGAAACGCCGCGGCGGTTTGTTTCCATCTACGTCGCTTTGCAAACGACTGACACGGGGCTTTTACCGACGATGGCAGTTGTGTTGACTTCGTAGCGATCGAGTTTGTAGCAGTCAACAAAGCGTTTAAATCGTGTTAGCGTCGGTATACCACTGCACGGACACGAACCCCAGACAAGCGCTGGTGGAAAGGCCATCCGTGTTTATGAGAATCAGCGTGAACACTAAATATTTACACACAGACAGGACAGAACATACACAGAGCTGTCTGTCAACGAGTGGTTAGGCTGTGTTTGTTATTAAAAATCCACGTGCTCCGAACTACGCCTAGCTCTCTAATTGGTTGTTCGTTTTGCCGAAGACGCCGTTGCCATAGCAACAGCACCGGAAGTCATCGTTTCTCCGTAAGAGGTCGTAACTTTCCTCCTCTCACTTAAGAACGCGTTTGTGAATACCGTTCTCGCCTCATCTTACGATGATCGTAACTTTACGAACTTCGTAGCTAAGTTGTCGTAGGTAAGAGGTTTTTTATGAATCTGGCCTCAGATCATCCAGGAGCTAGGGAGCGGGATTCTCACACCGCGGTACCACCATCGCTGAAAGTTGCGAATAGAGTGGGTCTCTTTTCAGCCAGTAATTGACACTTCATCTTTTCTTCTTTGTACTGCTTTCCGTGAAATGATCAGGGGTCATTCAATATCTCAATTTGCGAACACGCCAACGAGACTTGGCTCTACCAGGGCTATTGTGTTAGATTTGTTTTTATGCTATGACCTTATTTTGGTATCCTACATGTTTTTACAATACCCGGTATAAGCAGTCACGAAGTAGTTGTCACAACCATGTCTTGTATTGCAGCGTCCCCTCGCAATGCACAACCGCGCAGTGTTTTTCTGTGAATGGGGAGATTACGTTTCGCTGTCACGTGTTTTTCGGTGAGTTCAAATTGCACATTTCAATTGGCCGACGCCTAGGATCACCATGCTTCTCAATAAAGTTATCTCTCTCTCTCTCTCTGTCCCAAACGTTCGTTCGGTCGCGTATCATGTCGGCCAAGCACAGAAAGGACAAACCTTGGCTAAATAGGGTACTTTACCTTTATATAAAAAAAAACACTTCTTTTGCCGGTATTGTTAATCCAATGAACCTGCGCTGTATTCCAAGATTAAAGATCGAAGCAAAAACGTAACAAAGGAAATGCGCAAGGCGAAAAACGCGTACAAAGGATCTCTATCTGAAGAAAAAAAAAAAGTAACAAGGAAGTGTGTAAATATGTTAAAAAATGAGAAAAATCCTACTGCCACCACTCCCGATGTAATGGATGGTACATGCTTTGATGCTGACCTAGGAGGTAAAGCGAAAAGCATCCATTTCTATTTCCTGTCAACATTCACAGAATCGATATGTGTGGGTTTTGGCCTACAGAATTACAATGGGTTTTCGCAAATGAATGACAGATTTTTGAGGGCACGGAGTCACTTTGCTCTTAGAGAAGGTCAAGGTACACCCCTACCCAGACCGTATCTCGAACTACATCTTTCAAAAACTGCTATTTCTGTCGCTCCTTACCTGATCGTGTTGTTTAGAAAATCCTTTGAATTCGGCGGCTATGATTGGCCGGCGCCAAGGTCAAGTGTGGCGTTGGCCAATCGCGGCCGCCGAATTTCTCGCCGCTGGTGTCCAACTCATTCTAGGCAGGCAATGTTTATTGGGGCATATTGCAGAGTCATTGTGGCAAAAACCCTGTCTACGGGTTTTTTTTTTTTTTTTTTTTTTTTTTTTTTACAAGCAGTCGTGCGCAATGCATGTTTCAACAATACGCGTTCGCGGACTAGCATGGACGCAGCAGGCGTGATTCAGATATAGACCGTCAACTGCGAGTTTGCCCGAGAGAAATAATCTACAATTAGTTGTGATGATTTTCCTCAGTCAGGCGGACGCATGCATATCCGTGAGTCAGGGAATCAACCACCGCGTAAGAGGCGCCCACGAAACCGTGGGCGCCTCTTACGCACCTCTTACACGGTGGTTCGCTAAGCACGAAACCGTGTTCAGCGAACATTGGCAAGCGATGTGACGTCTGCTCTGCGCCTAGCAGACGACAAAAGCGGAGGTGTGCTCGCTGGCGGGAAGAGCGAGGCCGCCACACGACGCATGCGCGGGGTTTCGGAAGGCGCCTGCTATGCGGTGCTGGGGGTACGGGACGGCCGCCGCTCGCGTGTTACAGGTAACAGAGTCCGTGGTAGTACAGACAATAAACTTGGAAGTTCGTGAATACACGCCCAGAATAAACATATTTAAGTACACCCTTTTTTCCCCGAACAGCGCATGAGTGGAAAAACCTTCCAGATAAAATTGTATCTGTCCCTCCTTCCTCGTTTTTTTACAGCATTGCAAATGTTCAACTGGTTACATTGCTAGATTGACCCCTATTAATATATTTTGTGCTCATATCTCTGTCTGTTTCCTTATATGGCAAAAAAAACCTGAGGGTTCGCTTTTCCGCAGGGCACGCGGATTGCCAATGACCGCGATCGACAGCATGATTCCAGCTGTTTACAGGACAGAGATAACGTCTTCGCGCGAAGATATTATCTGTGAAGATTACATTTGTATGGAGACTCGTGTTCTTGATGTCGTTATTCGCTATTTATGCGTGACGCGATGATTGACTGTATATGTGCTTTGCGGGAAAGTAGACGCAAGGGCCTTGTTCGTAAATAGTGCGGCTATTCCTCGAGTAAATACGGTAATTCCCTAGTAAGGACGATGCAATAAATAACTGCACTACCACGCTTCTTTCGCGTCCATGCCACCTTGAGAGAGCCAGGTTCGAACTAGGAATGGAATGTGAGGTTGAGGTCCCGCACTTCGGACTTTTTGACAAAGCGAGAGATAATAAAACTTGTAAAGATAACAGACGCAAACAAAAAAAAAAAGGAAAAAAAAAAAAGATCGGCTGTTTTAGTTTATGTTGTCCACGGGAGTACACGCTCTGTTTTATTTCACATATATTTTTCGTTTCGGTTTTGTCGGCGGGTAGGATTACCACGAAGCTGCAAGCCGCACTTCGACCTGCGAAGAGCCGCAGTTTTGCCGCCACTCCCGCTTTATCGGATAGATGTTTAGTATGTTATCCGAAATGTTATTGTCGAACGTTGTCTAGCAATTACTCGTTGGTTTTTGATCGGGCCAAGGAAAGATGATTTCGGTCCCCGCGAGGTGGACACAATTAAACGGGTTCGCGTTTACCCATTTAATGTCGTGGCAACGTAAACACCAAACAAGTAAATGTGGATTTTTTTCTGTTCGTTCGTGTGAGTTTTTAAGACTTTCGATGCTCTGCCCGTATGGTTTAGTTCTTAGGCTGTGAATTGTTTGTCGACACTTGTTTTTCTTGTGTTTGCCTTGATCGGTCCGCAGGGGAGCCCGAACTTCAAGGAAAAGAGCGTCCAGGACGTGGCCGTGAGCCCCGGCACGGTGAAGGAGAAGACGCAGATCATCAATCGCATGTCGGAAAGCAACCTGCTCACCAAGGTAGCGGCCGGACCCGGCGGCGGCCCCGCGGCCAAGCGGAGAGACGGACCCGGGGCGCGAGCGGTGAGTGTTCGTCCCTTCATTTACCCGCCCGGAATGTACGAGAAGGGTCGGTCGTTCGAGAGTTTGAACAGAGCGTTACCGCCTCCAGCGGTATGGCTAGGGTAGCTCACGCTGAGACCTCGAATCATGCTCTTAAAGGGGCGATGAAAAAATTGCTTGTACTTCTAGTAGATACCGCTTAGATTTCTTTCTTGACAGTAATAACTATCCACGTGTCAAAAAAAAAAAAAAAACAGCACGAGGGACCGTTTGTGCTTTGTACACAGCGGGTGTGGTGTACTGGATCCTCTGACATGTGGCAGAAGCTGCACCGGACAGACTGGACCACCGATCCCTAGGAGAATTTGATGAATCGCGCATCCCCGCTTGTCCACCGCAGCGCGAGTGCGGCTACCGGAATTCGCGAAAAGTCGAACAAGTCGAAATCTTCACTTTATTCCTTTCGCTTGTCTGTGGTATTGGTGCCGCAAGCGAGAAACGCAAGCATGTCGCGCTACGTATTGAACACGTTGGGGTCCCCCTTTTCTACAACTCATTATTGTTAAGGTTCGGCTCTTTCCGTCATCGCAGCGATTATGCACGAGCCCGAATGCAGGCCGAGGCATTGTTTGTCACGAGCCCGAGCACGTCACCGCGGGGATCGCAAAGCTTGACGACGAAATCCTTTGCATCGCATGGTTGGCGTTGTGAACAATGCGATCCTCGCAACTTCGTCATCGAGATTTGCGAAGGAGAGACTGAAAGAAAGCGTCCGCTTTTATCCTTGAAATTACACGGCGACTTGGAAAAAAAAAAAACATTAAACGCAAACCTTAGAAAAATAAAGATGACTGACTGATTGGTTGATTGATTGATTGAAATACGTTTCGGAATCGCTCCTCATTCAGAACGAGCTGCGAAAACGTAAGTATTCCTCTGCAAATTTCTTTTAATTTCGGAACTAGTTCATCTTGGGGAAATGCGTGTCCTTTCCAAGCATAACAACAACAAAAAAAGATGTTTGAGAGTGATCGGTGTCCCGTTAAAGGACACGGAAATAAAACAGGTGAATTGTATTGTTGTGAAACGCACATAGATTACTTTGTTCGCGAAGCTCAAAGCTTTGCGAACTTTCAACTCTATAGACCGACACGCGGAGCGGCTCTGTTTACCAACACGGCCGGAAGGCCGCGCATGCGCGGTAGCTATGTGGGCAAAAGCAGCCCGGCTGTCCGTGTTTTCGCCATTGCGCTCTATGGCGTGCGCTCGTTGTTGACGTTGTAGGGACGCTTGTATCTTGGTTTGTGCGTCGTATTTCCTCATAACGTATGTCGTATGCTATGCCCGACTATTTGAGCTCGTTGCCCAAGCCTGAACGGTAGCGGTATCGAAACAAACTGTGCGTGGACGGCGTGTCCTACGAGGATCCGTACGCCGTAAACAAGGCCTGCTGGACTTCCGACGTAAAGTTGCTGCCACGGAAGTCGACGGCTCAGGTCGTCGTTTATTTAGTTTTTTTCGCCAAGCCAGTTCACGGCCGACACGGTGCAGGCGTACAAGACTCTCGAGGTCTACGATTACTTCGAGTCGGTTTCCGCACTGCCGGCGGGATCAGCAGACTGTGGGTCTGCGGAAGTGTGTGTATTAATTAATTGATTAAATACACAGAGCGTCTTCAAGTCAAGGTATGATATTTTTCATACCCTCATGACCACAAGGCATTACAACCAGTAAAGGTTTGTCCGTTCTGCAGTCTTGGCGGTAACAGGTTACAAGTAACGGCGTTACCAGGAACGTGTTACTTTTTTCAGTAACGTAGTAACCTACTCGTTACGTTTTCGACACAGTAACGGGTAATGTACTTATGTTACTATTTCAAGTAACGTAGTTACGTTAGTCGTTACTACTTCCCAAGTCTTAAAGAAATTACACTTCAATTGTTTTCGTGTTTTAGGCGTCAAGCCATGTTTTTCTTTGCGTTTTTTCTCGTAAGTATTCTGGTGAAACCGCGAAAAGAGATAAAGTAATTATGTTCAGTTTCTGCATGAACATAATGTTTCTTGATGTATGACCTGCATCGTCAAAACCGTCAGATGTGTTAAATCATAATTTAAAAAAAGTAACGCAGAAGTAACGTGCCTTACTTTTTATCGGTAGCGGCAACGCGTCCTTTTATTTTTAGATAACGTAGCTCAGTAACACGTACCTTTTATTTGCAAGTAACGAGTAACGTATTTCGTTACTTGTTGTTTTTTTTTTTTTTTTTGGTAACGCCTATAACACTGCCGTTCTGTAGTCGATCCCCTTCTGCTCGGTAGCACGGGCGTAGCGAGCCTCCGACGAGCGCTTGGGGGGTGCCCGGGTGCGTTGTGCGCGAACACCGTGGAAACAAAATCCGGGTGGTCTCGATCAGACAACGGTTTCCCTGCACATATGCAAGCCTCGGGACGGAGATTGAAATGGAAGCCGCACTTGCCTCCAAGAAAGTGCTTGCCGCACAAACGGGCGTTCGCGCGAGGCGACCATTCTTTTCGATCCACGGATATTATCCACCTTCTATGCCTTTCAGAGCCTGCCGGGAACTTGTGGAAACTCACTCCGCTGCTTTTCTTGCACATTTCGGTGCAATTAACGGCAACACAGCTTCGCGGCATGCTGAAATGCTATGACGCCCATGCGAAACGTGCGCGCTTTTGCCCACACCCCCCGGCTCCGGCGCGATCGCAGCGCCGCCGCAGCTCCGTGACGTCAAGCCCGCGTGTCGGTGTATAGCCGGTGGCAGAATAAGAGTCCTGCAGGGGAAGCTCCTTCCAACTCTTTCCACCTCAGCAGAGCGAGCGCCAGAGAGGAGGTCCCTTTTCCAGCATTCCCTCTGCTAAAGTGGAAAGAAGTGGGAGGAGCCTCTCCTGAACTCTGAGCCTCTCACCAACTGTAGTGGTATCGAGAATTAATTTTTCAATGTTGATCATATGCATCTGGCGGCCAGGCAAACCCGACGGAATTCTGACGTGCCTGCCCACAATACTCGTATCATCGTGTTCATAAACCTCGTGATAGTGACCGTATAGTTGAACGCTCTCTTATTCTAGGCCTAGTCATGCTCGGTATTCATTCTTCGCCCCCTAGCCTGCCGACGTATTTCTTTCTCCGCGGCGAAAGACAACGAGCGCGTGATGAAGGCACTGACTGTAAAATGCTCTAAAAAAAAACACACACACAAGAGAGCCACCGAGGAAGCCGCAGTGCTATCAGAAGCATTTGTTTATATATTGGCGACGAGCGCGACCCCCGAAAGCGTCGCTGTGGTCGGCCTTCCACGATTGGCCGAACGCTGACATATGACGTCGGAAAGGGTATATCATCGACGGAAATAAGAGGAATGAAAGAACTTTAATTTTGACGGTGTTGGAAGTGTTCCTTTGAGAGCGCAATGATTTCAAGCTTCCACCATGCTATTTACAAACACCATCGAACTAGTTGTTTGCAAGGTAATGGCGTCACAAGGGGGAACCGTAGGAGGGCGCCACCATAACTTCTCGCCGCTAATACAGGGTGTCCCAGATAAGTTGCACCAAACTTCACAAAAAAAAAAAAGAAAAAAAAAAAACACGGGGCGCTTTACGAGAGTGAAGCCAACGGTATGTTGCTGGGCAGCGTTTTGGGAAAGTGCGCAGTTTTTTCGCGCCTAGTTAATAAATTAATTAGGACTAATTAGCTATTTTTTAGTTTTTCATTTAATAGCCATGGAAAGTTGTAAAGCGCATTGAGAAACACCCACTTAAAAAGAGTTTTCCTACACGATACACATTGCGCTCTTCTTTCGAGACTGGGCGTTGCGGCTGCAAATGCTCGCACTTTTCTTCGGGGACTATCCCAACACGTAGCCCAGTCTCAGACCGTGCAAGTGATAAGGTGGACGTCGCTCCTTCAGAGCACGTTGTTTTTTTTTTGTTTTTTTTTTTTTAATTACAAGACTACCCAGAGTATGTATTTTCTTTAATTTCACGCGCCGCTGTTTTGCAAATCTCAGCCTTTCCAGTTCGAAGGAGCGCACACCCGCTTTCAGGTCTGCTCACTGCAGCACGTTTCATTGGCGTTGGAAAACCGGTGAAACAGTAGGGAGGTTTAGTATGCCTTATACGAGCGAACGCAAGCACTTGGTGTTTGCGTTAGCGTTGCGTGTTCCATATTGCGAGTGCGCGGAGCCCGAAATTGCGGTCTTGGATTGGCACATGGCAACGACGCACATGTGCAGCGTGGAACACGTAACTTTGACGCAAACGAACAGGACTTGCGTTTGTTTTTATACGCAATACTGAAACTCTCTAGTAAGTTACAATCCCATACCTCCTCCAGCACTAAATTGGGACACTGACAAGTGTTGTTTGTATTCAGCATTGTCTGTTGGTGAGCCATGGTCACGAGCAGTGCTGCCGCGCCCGCTGAGCCGGAGAACACCCTCACCATGGCCTCCGAGATCCCGAAGCGTTTCGGGATCTCGGAGGCCATGCCCTCACTAGAGCGCTTCCCATTTCCGCCGCGAGAGGGCGAGCAACGAGCTGTGGAGACGCGAATAGAGAAGAAAAACAACCCCGTTTTGAGACGTGCCGGGGTCGTTATTAAAGCAGCTCTCACCACTAAATATGGCTCGTCCAGCAATATTTGCTGCTACCATTGTTTCGAGAGGGCTCCTCCAGCATTCTGAAGCAGTAAGTGTGTCGTCGGCGCTTGCAGTGGCGGAGCGGGGACACCGCCATGTTGAACACAGGGCCGCGGCATCGCGGTAAGGCGACCATGGTACAGCGTTTCAGGCACGTGACGCCGGTACGAGTCGCGCATGCGCAGTTGAGCTCACGGTAACGGTTTGCTAGAAGTCCCTAATAATGGGAAGTTTTAGCTGAACGGTACCGCTGTCTACCGTAGGCTACCACCGGCACGGTAGCGCTAGTGACGCGCGCTTGATAACATTGGGCATGTGTGTATACAGCCTAGAACTTGGTCTGCCTCAATGGGCGACGAGT